GCCCTGAGTCCCCTCAGGGAAAGGGCGGCCTACAAATACTAATAAAACTCTAAAAATAAAAAAACTTTAGCAACCAATCAAATTTACACTGGTGCCAAAAATGTAGCTTTATAACCAGTCATAAAGACTCAAACTTAGCACTGTTGCAGTATCCCCTGGTCACATGACTGCAATTCAGGCTTTTGACAACCAGTTTGCAGTTATGATATTGCAGTGTCCCATGGTTATTTGATCACTATTTATGACCTTAGTTAGCTTTTGAAAAGCAGAATGGATTGCTAGGTTGGCAGTAAGTCACAAGACATGGTTATATGTTGTTTCACTTAAATGACTGTGGGTGAATCACTTAACAACTACAGCAGAACTGACATTATAAGGGCCAGCTTATCAATCTTTGGCAGTATTTTATCCAAATGTAGAGCACAAAAATTCACTTTTTCCTAATTTGAGCCAAGAGACCTAATGACCACAGCCAATTCTATGCTCTCTGAAGACAATGAAACTAAAATAATATTCATTTATCTATAAATTAGAACCATATTGTTGAGGTTATATAGCTAGTACCATGATCTTCATGGTATTATATTGAGATAACTGTACAAATAACTACTTTAATAGTAGCTACTTTAATCTATTTCCAAATGCTAATCATTACATCAGACTTTTATTCAGATGTAATTATCAACATTAGCATAATACAAGGCAGGATCTTTGCAACAAAGTCACTGAGATATGGGAAGGAAGTACACTTAACCTGAAGTTTGTTTCCATCTTTTCACTGAATTTTTCATTATATTTAGAATCAATGCACATGTGATACCATTGGCCTCTTGTTTTTATTCTTCCAGGACATTTTTTTTTCCAAAACATAACAGTACAATATCAGTCCCAAATAAAATCTTTCCATTGGTTTAAAACCATTCCCTTTCAGAACGGATAATTATATTGTATTTATCATTGTCAGTACCTTCCATCATCTTTATATAGGCAAATTAAGAGGCATCATGTTTAAAGCCCTAAGATTTGAACAATAATTAAAAAAATTATTTCAGAAAAAACTATTTCAGAATATCTTATGTCTTTTCTTCATCAATGCTCAATTTACAAAAGCTTTATTCTTTGATTACATAGACTGTATAGAAACATTGGGGGGGGGGGAGAAGTACTCTTAAAAATCAAAGTAAGAAAAACACTTCCACAGTCTTTGTAATATTTCATAGGTAATGTACGGTGCCAGCCACAACTAATTCCATTATTTTCCATTTATAAAGTGCTCAAAATTACTGTATATTTATATTTACTTACTGTGTTATTTCGGCCAAAAAATGTATATATTGCATACATATAGTAGTCAAAAAGCTGCGACATAAAGTGAATCACATCAAATGCAATGGGCTTCAAAATGTTCATCATTTGCATATATTTACCTTAGAGAAAAAAACAAAAACAATTCAACTTCAAGAATATCCCTATATAGTGCCTATTTACAAAATTAAACCAGATCTTAAAAATTATTATAGTTTTCCCCAAATGAGAATGACAAATAGATCCAGTAGATCTAAGGCCGCCAGTTGGCACCAAGATTAAGATATTGAATAACAGCATTATAAATCAAACAAATCAAACTAAATAATTATTAAAAATCTTGAGTACTAGACATCAATGAAATATCTATCACATATTCAAAGGATATAGACCGGGTGAACTAAGATGTAGCTAAGCTGCTAAAATAAGTGAGATAGCAGTATTAGTTGTGTTTTCCCTCTAAAGTTCTCATTTCCTATTAAAGCATGCACATCCAACAGTTTTTCAAACTTCCAGATTAGGCTTTTTTTGAAGATTCAGAGACTGTAAATCACCCCCAGGAATGGTATAAAAATAATGCCCCCCCTTCTTTTTGTCACAAAATAGATCTGATTCTGAATACTGTACCACATAACTAAAATCCAACACATTCCACTATCTCTGCTAATAATACTGAATGTATATTTTGTTCTTGCTGCAATAACTGAAATGCTCAGGTTATTGTCAATATTCTTTCAAATATGTTAATTTTACTTCTGCTTTACAGAGAAAGGGAACTATGGAAAGAGATAAGGAGGTCCATGTATGGCATAGACCAAGGATGTCAACCTTGATTTCATTGAGGGCCGCATCAGGGTTGTGTTGGACCTCAGCATGATGTCACTTGTGTCGAAGGCACCTGTGGCAGCCTGAGTGATCTGCCAGTGAAAATGGGCTCCCGAGCTCCGTTTTTGGCTGTCATATCCTCCTGCAACCTTCTGCCAGCAAAAATGGAGCTCCCTCCTGAGCTCCATTTTCATTGGCAGAGGCACCATGGGCCAGTCCTTTGCTGTTTTCAGGATAGCCCCAGGGGGCCAGATCTAAGTACCCCATGGGCTGAATTAGTCCACCGGGCCTTAAGACTGACACCCCTGGCATAGACTATCTATCCACATTTTTCCTGTGAGACAGAAGCTTATTCCTTTAATACCATTAAGTTCCCAATTGTGGAACAAATTAGGTTGTAATGGTAGAATTTGGCACTGATATCTCCAATGGGAACTCTTTAAAATGCTGCACAGAAGACACTTTCCTTTCTAAGATTCTCAAATATATATACTATTCTTTATTCAATGCCATATCTTCTACCCCAAATGTCAGCTAATATTTCATGCAAAAAGTACCATCTTAGTTAAAAGCAATTATACAATATGGACATCATAAATCATGGAAATAATCAGGAAATTATAAATTATTTATGCTAAATTTTCCAATGAAAATTATTATCCTTATAGAAACATACCATAATCATAAAATATTGTATGCCTCAGTGTAAGAGATGCACAGTGTATTTTTTAAGTCAAATGAAACAAAGAATAAAACTCTTCAGTCGTATGAATGAACATCGAGTCTCTAATGCTTCTGGGTGCAATGCAAGGAGTTGGTTATTACTTACAAAATTCTTCATGGCACACAGCCAAGCTATTTGCAGGCTTGGTTATCTCCAATTCTTTCTGCCCTTTCCAAAATCTGACAAGAATGGCATATGATGTGTCCATCTAGTAAGCAATGCTATATAAGGAGTCATGCCTTCTAAGTCATTGTGCCTACTGCGTAGAATAACTAGCATCCAGCCACCCCAATAATCCTTCTGTCCTTCTGTAAAGCATTGAAAATGTGGGTTATGCCTATAGGCATTTGACCAGGCTATAAGGTGAACTAATTTTTATTAATTGTTAGTTTGTATGGGATTGGCATCCCACATGTTTTTATTTCTGTTGTTTTGGTGCTTTCTTTGTTGTTTTTCACACCAGAGTGGCATTGTGCAAGAACATTAGTTTTAAAGAGGAAATCATTTGTGGATTAAACAAAAAATATTTAGACATTGGTAACAGTAGCTTAATTTTGTTTATAAATGTTTCTATTAGTCCAAATATATATATGAGAATCAACTTTTTTTCTTAATCTTGGTTTTCAATGGCTATAATACAGATTTAATCATATCAATTTTCTTTAAAATAACAGCATTTTGTGTTTAAATATTCAAATTTTGCAAAGAATTAAAAGATGCTGACACAGACCTGGAGAATGAATTTAATTTACTGAGTTTAATTTATGATTTAATTTTTTCTATGCCCTGATTTGGTGCTGAATCAAAAAAAGGAACTATAGCTTTTCTTTTCCAATACATAAGTTAATGTTAATGTTAAACATCTGACTCTTCTATATTTTCAGTGGTATTCACTTACTATCTTATCCTAAACCTATAAGTAGTAGTAAGACAAATTGCCCTGCAAAATATGTACAAAATGCCCACATATCCTTTTAAATGACATTTCTTCTTTTAATGGCATTAACAAAATTAAATAGTGCTTCTGTACCTTTTCTGAACTTCTGTCTCTAGCTGACACTCATTTCTCTTTAGGACTATAACACAATAATTCAAGTACTTAAGAACATCTACATCCAATATAATTTACTCTTGCCATTAAGACACCAATGTTTCATTTTTCTTTTAATATGCATGTTTAGTTAGCAAAGAGTTTGAAGGACAATATTTAAGAAGCCATGGGAAAAACTAAGTGCTCCTCACCTAAATCTTGTCCCTCTTAGATATTTTCCCCACTAGATGCCAAGAACATTTGTTTATCATTGCATCATTGTACAGCTCAATACTATTTATCTTCCAAGAACATTTCTTCCTTCCAGCTATAAAATAAAACCAAATTTTCAACTTGCTTCTACAAAACTAGCAACCAGCCAGTAAATTGTCATCACCAGAAAGTTCTTTTTTTATTGTACTCTACAAAAATCAAAGGCAATGAAAGCAAATGTGAACAAAGCAATTCATGTTTCTTGACAACTACAACCAGTCCTCATTTAACTATCACTACTGGAAACAGCAACTCAGTCATAAGCAAAATAGTCACTAAATGAACTCTGCTTAGAATCTTGCTTTAGTTTGTCTTTGTTTTGCAGACCTGCAAAGGTCATAAAGCTGAGGACTGGTCACAAAACCCTTTTTCATCCCCATCGTATTTTAAAGAAAACAGCATGGTCACATTTTTATTTAAAGTCTATATTTTATTTCATTTTCACAAGCTTACCTAGCTTGTAAATTGCTCGGTGATATGAGTAAGAAACATATATTTTTAATATTAAAATGTATTTATAATACATTTTAATACTAAAAATTATAATAAAATACAATACTTATATACTTTCTTATGAAGTTATATATTGCAATTCCATTTTGTATTGGTACAATCTAAGATATCTTTTCCATGGCTAGGTATTTCTTTCTTAACAAACTAGCTTCATCTGTACCAATGTCAATTTGGATAGATGAACTGAAAATAGATGTTTAAAGTGTTTGTCATCTTATATGTATTTACACAAACTTGAAAAACAAATACAGTATATATGAAAATATATGTGATCCTCAACTTATGACTGTGGGTAACAACCATTCAGTTATGACAGACCCTGAAAGAGCTACTTATAACCCAGATTCAAAGTTCTGATGCCTGACCCTCTCTCCAACAGTCATGTAAACACGTTTTAGGTGCTAGACAACAAGCCCATATATACAACTGTTCGCCACATCCCATATTCATGTGCTTATGATTTTGAAGGAAACTGGTATTTACTTCCTGTTTCTGGCAATAACACTTCCTAGCAAACAGATTTGCATAGACTGCACTTAACAACCACTGCAAAAAAGGCCACAAAATTGGGTAGTCATTTGATGATACACTCAAGTACTGTCATGACTTACAACCCTTATTGCAAGCTCAATTATGGTCATAAATGATGAACTACCTCTATGTGTATTGTTATTTTTTTATCCTTTTCACGTTATTTTGATTGTTTATCAACTTCTTCAAATATTCCTATACTTGCTATGGCTTAGGCTATTCTGTTATGCAAATATAAAGGAAGGAAGGAAGGATCAAAGAGAAAACGATTGTTGGTACTTACCTGAACATCGCTTCTAATGATGGGGAGGGGAGGTGCTACCATCAGTCTATCTTCAATCCTGGTCCATAGACTGAAAGAAAGTGTTGCAGCCACGCCTCTACTCTTTCTGCCCAGTTCCTCGAGGTTGTAGGGAGTAAAGTCTTGCAATAAAAGTTACAACAAGGGTACCTCCTCCCCCCATGCCTAAATAGTATGGGAGGTAGTGCCTCCCATCCCCATCATTAGAAGCGAATTTCAGGTAAGTACCAATGATCTTTCTCAATGATGGGGAGCAGAGATACTACCATCAGGACATACCCAAGCTACCGTCTCTAGGGAGGAAAATAAATTATGATTCCCTGGCGGTTGCGGGAGCCACTACCTGCTGCAACACTCTACATCCAAAGGATGCATAAGCCAACACATAAGCATCCAGTCTGTAGTGTCAAATAAAAGTAAGGGATGCCCAAGATGCTGCCCTACAGATATCTTCAAGTGGTGCTGTAGTCGCCCATGCCAGTGTAAAATGCGGGTAGAATACGTGGTAATACTCTGAGGTGGAACCTTGCCCTTGGCTTCATAGTGTAGCTTTCCTCAACTATCTGCTGTTTGGGGTTACTCCAGCATCTTGAGTGACTGGCTGGAAAGACCCCAGCAATGCTTCCGACTTACGAAACGAGGCCGTTCGTCTGAGATAAAGTCTCAGTGCCCTACGGACATCTGGCCTGTGCCAGAAACTTTCTCTAGTGTGGGAGAGAGTTGGACAAAAGTTTGGTAATACCACCTCCTGTGCCCTGTAAAAGAGGGTATTAACTTTGGGGAGGAAGGAAGAGTCTAGCCGTAATGTTACCCTGTTCTGATGGAAAACGCACAAGTCATCACGATGAGAGAGCCCCAAGGTCTAAAATGTGTCTAGCCGACATAATGGCGATTAAGAATGCTACTTTCAGAGTCAAGAGCTGAA